TCACGACTGCTGCTCCCTGGGGAGAAGCAGGGGCCCAGGGACACCACTAATGCTGTCCATCTCCCCTTGCAGCCCATGCGTGGGTGAAGAGAGCTCCAAACTCAGCAGCACCTACATCGAGGGGTCCCCAACCCAGGGACTCATGGCGGGCAGCAGCCAGCGGTGGGCTCTGCTTCGGGGCCTTGCGGGGAGTGGGGGTTCACCTGGTATTTCCGCCTGCAGCAGGGAGAGCAGCTTGAGGAGGAAGATGGGTATCCAGCAGAGAGCATCAGTGAAGACGATGAAGAAGAACCGCTTTGCGATGGCGACTTCCTGGGAGCAGACGCCTCTCTCTGCTGTTTTGGACGCAGTGATGTGGATGGAGTAGAACATGCCGGAGTAAGCAAAGACAATGATGATGAAGGCTGCAAGATTCAAGCCTGGAGAGGAACAAATCTCGCTCTGAGCGTAGCCAAAGTGCAAACCTCATGAGCTGGGATCGGCAGCGTGGCCGGCAGCAGCAGGACAACTCCTGCTTTTATCGCTAGAGGGGGCAGAGACATCTCAGCAGCCCCGGTTAGTCCTGAATCCAGCCTTAGCCCAGCGATGCCCCTGGCCTTGGCCAGCTCTGGGGTGAGGCTGGGCACAGCACCAGGCTGGAGCAGGGACCCTCCCCAGCCCAGGACGGAGGGCAGAGCTGGCACCCCGGTCTTACAGGGTCCCAGGCAGCGCCCTGTAAAGGCAGACATCCCACTAACGGCGGCAATGCGGGCTGTCATGGCACCCTGGAGGGGAGGGCTGGGCTGAGCAGCCCCACTCCCACCAGGGAAGCCCATCCTGCCCCACACCGTCCCCATCCCCAGGTCCCAAGTCCCGAGGTGGCCTTACCCAGGTAGATGGTGGCGGAGTAGCCCCGGGCACTGGGCCGCTCGCCCAGGTCGGACTGCAGCGGGAAGCACACCCCGTTCCTCCCGTAGTAGTTCCCAAAGGACTCCTTACACCACAGGGGGATGATGCTGAGGGAGAAGCCCAGAAGCCAGATGGCCGCTAGCACCGAGATGGTCTGCTTCTTGCCAGCTCTGTGGTGGCTGAACGGGAAAACAATGGAGAAGTATTTCTCCAGGGTCA